GACTCAGCCCCAAACACATGATGTCATCGTGTGGGGTGGGGGTGGAGGGGAGAACGCCCTGCCTACAGCAGGTCTGGCGCCCCAGTTCCAAGGTGAGTCGTAACCCTGCCTTGAGCCGCGCTCCGCGGGGCAGTGGCCCGAGCGCTCCTCCGGTCGGGGCTGACCTGGGAAGCCAGTTCTCCGTGGGAGCCGCGGGCAGGCGTGCAAGAGAACCTCCTGCCGCTGCCCGATTGGAAGGGGTGCACGTAGGGACTCGCTTCCGTGGCCACGGCCTTGGTGTGTCACTGCCCTTACTGAAAAGCCCCCTAAGTACAAGGCCATATGGACAGAATCCTCCTTCTGGGCACCGATTGTGTGCCTGCCTGGACTGGGCACACCTTAGCGACTGGACAGGACAGCTGGGCTGGCTGCGCTCAAATTTAGAATTTCTGCAGATTGTACAATGAGTCCTGATAAGGTCATACCTTTGAAATTTAGAGGGAAAGAAATCAGTAGGTAGATATCACAGTGGGCGTATACTGTGAAGTAGAAATAGATGTACAGATAGAGTAAGTAGATAAAATAAAACAGCTTTACTAAGCAATTAGACTTTCCCCTCATATCAGGTACGTAGACAAGGCTCATACTAGTTCATAATATCCATCATTCTCTAGGAAGCTGGTGTTTTGAGGGGGTGCCTTCTCTGGGGTAGCAGCAAAAAAAGGGACTCACATGTTTAGTGAGTGCCTACTCCGTGCCAGGCTCTGTACTAGGCATTTTGCATCTTGGTTTAGATCAGTGTCTGAGTTCTGCTTCCAGTGCATATTGTCATTACCTGTTGCTCATTTCTGCCCACTTTCCCCACATAGCAATGTTTTTAATATGTGTGTACGAACATCTAGGGCCATACACCCGTGGCTCTGATCCTCTTCGTATTCAGCTCATACTCGATCGTTAAGTCAAAGGTCTCATTACCCTGCTGCTCCCAGTGCTCACTAAATCTTCCTGCTGCTGCTGCTCCCCCTTGCTGTTCCCCCCACCACCCTGGTCATTTGTGTTTCCGGCCTCCCTGGGTCCTCTGAATGTGTCTGCATGGCTCCCGGTGCTGGGCTCTGTTTCCTTCCGGTTCTGCGACCCTGCCTGTTCTCTTGGCCCCCTGGTGCCTACAGGCATTGCTCAGATCACATGGTCTGCTGACTGGTGCCCACCCCCAGCCCTGGTGCGTGATGCCTGGTTTGGTGAACTGGCCCATCCTGCCCTCTTCTCTTGGCCACCAGTGGCCTGACCGGCTCTCACCTCTCTCAGGTCTGCGCTGACCCTCAGCCCAAGTGGACCCTTAGTGACCAGGGAAGCCACTTGTCTATGGTGGCTGTGGAGGTATAGACCAGCTTTTCTGCTGAAAGCCACCAGGAAGCACATGCCACTCACATTTCAAGAGGGGCTACTGTTCTGTCCCTATCTGCTCAGCTATTGTGTGGGTAAATAAAGGGCTTTGAAGTCTTTTTAAGGAAGTAGTTATGAAGACAACCCTGTTACAAGCACTTTCAGACTGCGGTAGGCTTAAGGATGACCTTTTTTGCCTGCAACTCCGGATGAAGAGCCATGCCTCCAGGGTGGTGAGCTCTCGCTTCCCTGTGGCTCTTAAGACACTCGTGTTTAATTTGACATCAAGGGATTTAGAAGATGAAATACCCTAGAGAAACACGGGAGACTGGGGTGGAGCCACTGCAGATTGAGGGATGCACACCATGGAGGTGAAGTCACTCACCCCGCCTCTCACGGCTACTTTAAGGGAAACTGAGCCGGGCACACACAGTTCGTTACTCCTGCTCCACGTGTTTTCCCTTTATGTCAAGTCCAATTTCTCCTTGAACATGCACCTCTCCGGGTTCCCCAGGGTTTCCCAGAGATGGAGAAATGAAAAAAAGGGAGAAGGTGGATTTAATAGAGGAATGAGGCAAGATTGTGAGCTGGGTCTGAGGAAGAGAAAGGAGAGGGTGGGAGTGTTTACTGCATATCATCTTGATCAGAGACCTGGTTAATTAGTAGACAGTGGATAGCAATTCAAAGGGAATTGAGAATATAAATGGAGACACAATTGCCTTAAGTACTTTGAATGAATTTTTTTCCTTCTAGTTTTATTGAGCTATAATTGACGTGTAGCACTGTGTAAGTTTAAGGGGCACAGCATAATGATTTGATTTACACACATCATGAAGTGAATGTCACAGTAAGTTTAGATGAACATTGTCTGATAAATGTACAAAACAAAAAGAAGAAAATATTTTTTCCTCGTGATGAGAACTCTTAAGATTTACTCTAACAACTGTCACATATAATGTTATGTTGTACATTACATCCCCAGTACATATCTTATAACTGGAAATGTGTGCCTTTTGATTGCCTTCTTCCAATTCCCCCACCCCCTACCTCTAATAACCAGAAATCTGATCTTTTTCTATGAGTTTGTTTGTTTCTTTATTTGTTTGAAGTATAACTGACCTACAGAGTGATTTTTTTTTTGCTTAGGGGATCAGAGGAAGAAGCAGCAAATGAATGAATGACCAAGTTTCTAAAATATTGAAGCTGAGTATCAAGCCTCCTTCTCCCACCCTCGCAAAAAACAGCACAAACCTAACCAGCCTAAGACCCCAGCTCTGGGAACCCCCTCTTCCAGAGGCTTCCTGAGGCCTGTGTGACTGAACGCATGCAGACTTGCTTTGCCATCAGCAGATGGGGCAATTGTCAGCCAATGAATAGCCTATTGCTCAATAGATTAGAGTGGAAAGTGGGCCTTCACCGCTCAAAAGGTGGCACCAGGCCACCAAACGGCACGCCCAGATGAAAGGCTCCAGGGAGCAGAGCTCCTCTAAAATGTCACCATCTGGACTGACACGAGGGTGAGGCTGATGAGTCAAAGAGCAGGGGCGTGTGGAGGAGAGGAACGCAGGAATCGGTGTCAGGAGGCCTGGACTGAAGTGCCTGCCCCACCGCTTACTGGATGGCCTTGACAGCGGTGCGACCTCTCTGAACTTCAGCTCCCTCATCTGTAAAGCGCAGATGGTCATCTCCGCCCCTGCGACATCCACAGAGCTGATATATCGCTGGAATGAGATAAGGTGGGTGGAAGCTTCTCTGCTCATTCATTCGTTCACCCTTTACGCACCAGGCACTATGCGAGGCATAGTCCCTGCTCTTGCAGAGTGTGTACACAGAAGACAAATAATCTCATAATTGACTGCGTAACTATGACTGTAATAAGTTTGCTGGAAGGCTAACGTCCAACCAGGAGGGACCCACTGGGGCCGTGACGGAAAACGTCCCCGGTGTAAGGAGTAGAGTCTGTGACTTCACGCACCTTTGAAATGCGCAGCAAATACCAGGCTCTTCCTTGTCAAAGCTGGCGCCGCTTGGCAGTATTTTTCCTTTACATAAGCTAAGCGTTGGCCTTTCAGGTACAAGGGTTAGAGTGTAGGTTTTTATTTTTTATTTAAAAAAATGTATTATTATTATTATTATTTTGTTAATGAGGGTATTGGAAATTGAACCCAGGACCTGGTGCCTGCTAAGCACATGACATAGCACTGAGCTACACCCCCCACCCCCCCAAGTTTTTTCTTTTTCAAGGTAAGTATTAACTCTTCAGACAGTGTCACTCAATTGGTAATGCACCTTTGTAAGGGGCTAAAGAAAGGGCTGGTGGGAGGACAACTCACACTGATTGAGTGCCTACTGTTTGCCTGACACTGTGCTTGGCACTTCATTTTTCCAACAGCCCATGGGGGTAATGTTCAGTTTGCCATTTTACGGACGAGGAACCCTTAGCTTGGAAAAGTGAAATCCCTTCCTTGCACAGATTCACGACGCTTGAGCGGCAGAGAATCAATTGTCAACTAGATGATTCTGTGTCTCCAAGACCCAAGCAGGCTCTTTCCATGGCTATCCTAACAAATGCCTCAAATGGGGACGTTGTATTTCTGGATCCCTCTGAGAGGTGGATTCTCTGGGTTTCCAGATGCTGTGTTTGTTGACTGGTTGGTCAGGGGCACAGCGTGCCACTGCTGGCAATCAAATAACGCTCTGCTCGGGAGACAGCTGTGTCCTTCTCCCCGAGCGCCGTGGGGATACTGAGGGACCCTGCGCTCTGGCCACTGGGTAGAGCATCTTCCCAAATGAGACACAAGGAACTGAGACCACAGAGCTTTGACTCGAATATAAGCCAACCACATAGTTCCTTGTTATACTGAGGAGCTCTACTTTGACCAGGGAAACCGTAGGGAGGGAGAGGGAAGGAAGAAGGAAGGAAAAGGCCAGGGGGTTTCCTTTGCCTGGGTGGTGGCTGAGGGAACGTCTAGGGTACAACTTGCATGGACCCACTGATCCCAGTGCAGATGTCTAGGTCTTTGAAAATACCGTCACTTGTGTAGCTTTCTCACATCTATTTCTTCACTTCTGCAGCCATGGGCTAGACTCATGACCCCTGTGTGAACCCTAGCTCCCCTGCTCAGTTTCAGGCAGGATCGGGTGGAGGGCAATGTGACCCACAGGAAAGAAAGGCGGACTCGTGGCTCTGCCAGGAACCAGCCCTGGGCTCTTAGCAAGTCTCTAGCCTGGTATGTGCCTCTGTTTTCTGATCTGTAAGTCAAAATAAGAATATCTAACCCCACACAGGGTTGAGGGTGTAGGGTAAGACCATATATGTGAGAGAACTTTGGAAAACAAACATTTGCTGTGCACAAGAAATTCCTGAGAGTGTGCTTGAAATAAGAAAGAAAAAAAGAAAGGAAGCCGACTTAATCTCAGCCTTGGTTTACTAACCTAAGAAAGCGAAATCTGGGGTCCAACAAGGGACCGAACGTTCTTACGTAGCCCCTGCCATGGTAACTGGTGACTCTGGTCCAATTACTTGTCCACGAAATCCTTCAGCTGCTTCTTTTGTAGAGTTGGGAATAATGGCTTGCCATCGGGACTTGTATAAAGCACTCTGCGTGATCGATTAAAAAAACGACAATCAAAATCCTACGCACACGGAAAGGTAGCATTTTAAGTGAAAATGAACCTTGGGGTGATATGTTTTACCTCTTTGCAGGTAAATCATTCTGAAAACCATAGTTAGCTGACACCGAGATCGCTTAGGAGACATAACTAGACTATAATAGCTTAAGGTTTCTCTTATCCATCTCTCATTTCACACCGGCCGGTTGGATCCACTCTCCTCTAACCCCACAGCTTTGGCCCAGATCCTGTTCTTCTTGCTCTCCTGCTGAAGCATTTTCCTCTCTCACCCCTGTCTTTTAAACTAAAATGCAGTCAGAGACCACATTCCAGCAAGCTCACAGGTGCCAATCTAAAGCTAATAGTCCTGATATCAATTCTGATGTCTCCTGCCCAGGGTTAGGGAGGCCAGACGGTCTAGGGGAAAGAGCTTTGGCATCCTGCAAACCTGGACTTGGAAACTCAGCTCCACCACTCACCACCTGTGTGATCTTGAGCAGGTCACTTACCCTCTCTGAGTCTTAGTTTCCTACTTTTTAAAGAGGTGAAGGCCACAGAGTAAGTGTACCCCAAAGAGCAGTAGGGAGGAATAAATACCATGAGCTAGGCACGTGAAGGACCTATCACCATGGTACGTAATAAACACTGTATAAATGTAGTTCTCTGCTGTAGAAAGGTCTTGACTGGCTGAAGGGGCACTGTTCCACCCCATAGTTTCTAGTTTGGGCAGCCCCACCAACTTCCCTGGTTTGAGCAATCACACCAAACTCCATGAACCCTAAGAGAAGAATGAGTGATTTTCAAGCATCACTCTCCCCGCAATTCTGAACACTGGCCTTTCAAAGAACGTAGCTTGTGTCATAACAAGCCAGTCTCCCCACTGAAGCAATGATGCCATCTAAGCCAGTAGACTCAGAACCGCTTGACCACAGGAAATGCCCAATCACTGGAGTCCTGGGGCTGGGAGGTTTTCCTGTGCTCAGAGATGCCACGTACTATTGGAATAAGCTGGTCATTTCCTCTTGCCTGGATCCTCCAGTTCTCTGCAATTCCGGGAATTCATGAGCTGATCCCTCACTTCAGTTCCTTTCAAAGCAAACTTGCAGGCAACCCCCAGATGCCTGTATTTCAGTTTGCATTCTTCTCCCCTGGTTATGGATTCTGTCCCTCGGCCAGCTGGACTTTGCACACTGAGCTGGGTTACCTCGTTTCATCTCCTGTACCTGACAGAGAGCTCAGGAGGCTGGAAGCCTGGGGCCGGTGACACTGCCAGCCTCGTGGCGTGGACAGGTGAAGACCAGCAGCCTTCCCCGCAGACTATTCAGGTTGAGTTGCCTCTCTGGCCAGAAGCCAGCTCTGGCAAGGATTCAGCTTCCTCTCAAGCCCTGAGAAAGAGCTCAGGTGTATCTGGGGACCAGCAGAGCAGGTAGGCAGCCACGGCTTAATAAGTCTCTCCCCTCCAGCATACAGAACAAGAGAGAGCTCCCTGTGGAGAGGCTGCATGGCCCGCCCACTGAGACGAGTAAAGAAATCTTACCTATGCACTACTTTTTAATGCCCATCCCACTCCCCATCCTTGATATAAGTTTGGGGCTCACTTTGTAGTACAGGAAATGACAACTAAATTACTCCTGTCTGCATCCTAGCTCTTTAACACAGAGATGCAAAGCTTCACTTTGATATTACACATCCCTGTTCTCTCTACTCGACAGGGTTTTGTGGGTGGTAGGAATGATGACAAGATCCAGTGACAGTCCTTAAAAGACTTTCCAAGAATCGGAAGATGAAAACTCCGAAACTTGGGCTGGCTCTTCAAATTCCGTTTCCTCCGAGGGGATGAGAAGGGGAAATGCCTCCAACACCGGCCGTTCCCATTTTTATCGTAGACTGTGGCACTTAATTCCAATGAGAGTTTGTAAAATTCTTTTGAGCTGTTTAGGAAGGGCGCTATCCTCCGAAATTACAAAGTGCGATGATGCTTGTAACTGCTGAGCTGCTTGTGTTTAGTGGAGGCATCGGGTGTGTCTGTGATACGAAGGGTCCCTGAGCTAATTCCACCTCCAAGAGAAAAAAACAAGTTAACACAGGCCCCGTTCACAGGAAAGAAATCAATTCAGAGGCAGTGAATTAGAGAAACGCCATCATAACACGGGTCTCCTGTAACTGGCTGTCCACAGAAGGAAAGTGGGGAGAAGCGGGGAAGAGGGCAGAGAAAAGGCATGGAAGAGTTCTAACTCGTGGCCGTCGCCCAGGCAAAAGGGAGATGAAGGACGTGAAGGACGTGAAAGACGGCGCCGTGGCTTCCACCTGGGGGGTGAGAAGCAGGGCGGTCTTGTGAACGTTCAATGTGGAGGGTCTGATGCTGCACAAAGCATGCCAGCCAAGACTGGAAATGCAACTTTTTTTTAAAAAATTGAAATATAGTTGATTTACAGTATTAGTTTCAGGTGTACAATGCAGGAATTCAATCCTCCACTTAAAGTTGTTATAAAATATTGGCTCTATTCTCTGTGATGGACAATATATCCTTATAGTTTATTTATTTGATATATTACTGTGTTTGTGCCTCTTAATCCCCTACCCCTATCTTGCCCTTCTCCCCCTTACCTTTAAAGTTGCTTGGAAATGGAACCTTAAACATTGAGTTAGGACAGGAAAACATCTCAGCCAGTTGACTTTTATATACAAAGCTATTTAGAGGGAATTTGTAAAGGAAAAAAAATTGCCCACTCCTCCATCCTACCTGACAATAACTTCATTACTACACGTTCCATTTTTATTCTTGTCCATGTCAACAAAAAATATTTACCAATTTACCACCAAGTAAATATACTGTATTTTGTGTACTCCTTTTTCAAAACTAACATTGGATCATAAGCTTATTTCCCCATTTCTGCATAGTCTTAATAAAATTTTAATGTCAACAACATTCTAAGGCAATGTTAAGTCCTGAAGCTTGGGAAGACTAGCGATTTAAAACAAGGAGTCACGTTTCTTAAGTGATTTCCTCAAGAAGGTCAGGAAACCCCTTGGAAAGCAATAAAGATACAATGTGACAGATTCAGATAAATATGTCAGCGGGTAGATTGTCGATAAGTCAGCAGCTTGATGGCTTTGGGGCCAA